ACGACGACGACACACACACACACACACACACACACACACACACACACACACACACACACACACACACACACACACACACACACACACACACACACACATATACACGTACACAAGCACAAACACACACACCTCAACAACATTATGCAAGCTAAATAGCTTCTAAGCCACCATCTTGCTCGCCTTTATGAAGGGCATCTCATTCTTGATATTGTGCTCTTCGACTGTCATCATCTATCCAGTCACGCACAAACGGCTTCGAAGCTTCCGGCCATAGCTTGGCGGCGCCAGCGGTCGAGGTAGCCCATAGGTGGTAGCCTTTCACTTTTGCAATGTCTGGCAAGCCATTACACACCCGATGAACCAAAAAGTGCCTCATTGTCAGATTCGTCCCATCTCGTTTGCCAACCGCTCTCCAGTTCCCGCCCAGCTTTTTTTTCTTTTTTAGCCCTTTAAGTTTAGCCTTTCAAGAACGTTGAAGTCCATTTGCATTTAATTACCGAGAGTTAAATTTCCAAAAACAATGTACAAAGAACATTCTCTTTCTGGAAGCTGCAGTGGTACCAAAAGTACCAAAAAAAGTACCAGAGAAACTAATTTAAAAAAAAAAAAAAAAAGCTTTTAGTGTCGACTGCGGCGTTTTTACCCAGTAATTACGTCGGTGGCCATCTCCAGCACACTGGCCGACATGAAGACACACTTAAAAAAAAATTACGGAATAGTGCTCCCAACGGTGCAGTGTAACGTTGAGCGAGTTGCCCCTGCATGTCCCCTCTTTCCCCAATCTATTTCGTAAGACGGAGTACAGAATTTTCTCTCTTCCAGAAAGTTGTCCATTGTCCCAACTCTGCAAGCCAGTCCCTCCCTCACTGGTCGCGTATCAATCCTTCCGTCCCCTCCTCCTTTAATTTGTGAACTTCCTAATGCAGCACCGGCAGAACAACGCCACGAGTCCAACGACCGAACTGGTGGGTATGCTTTCTTTCTTGACCCCACCATCCCGCCAACCAGGGGAGCGGGAAGAAGAATCCCTGCTCTTACCCTATTACTACGTGTCTGCTATAACCGACGGCTGCTTCTCTATGAATCCATCATTATGCACTTATGCCGTGGGAGGATTCTTCTTGATAGTGGGACTTTCTTGACCTGTGCGCCATGCCAGTAAGATCTTTTCCTTGCATAATGGGGCCTCCTTATCTGTAATAAGAACTGATGCCGCCGCTTCCCCCCGGTCTCCCTAATACTAGCCCGTATATGGAGCTGTAGAAAATGAACATCTGACTTGATAAATTGCTAAAGAATAATCGATTCTTTATATTTCGTCAAGGCAGGGACCTTTGCGTAAAATTTGAGCTGCGACGGCCGCCGTGTAATTTCGCATCGGCAACAGACAGCAGACCAGAACCGTGGCTTTTCCCCTTGGTTACGTCGTGCAAGCCAACTGAGACTCCAGTAGTAACGTGGCTATTAGATGCCGGTAAACCTGCACGCAAGAGGCGCATCGACCGTTAAGCTGCCATGGGGTGCAGTGTCCTCTGCAGCATGCATATGCAGACCTGCAGGTTGTGCACCAGTACGTACGTGGTAGTACCATCTATGTCAAACGAGACCGCGCCGCAATCCTTGTTCGATGGCTGCATATTGCATCGAGTATCGATGGAAAAAAAGCCCATCTGCACAAACCTGGCAAATAACAGGTTGCTTAAACCATTGGTGCTGAGGCAATCTGGTTTACGGAGCATATGCTTTGGGGTACACAGCCCCCAATCCTATATCGGGCGGACCTATATGCATGATGGCTAGATTCTGCACCAAAGTGAGCCCATACGTGCGTCGTCACTTCTCTCGCACAGTAACCCTTCTCTCCTCGAGCACTGAGAACCACAACAACTGACAAACATCTCGTTGTTGAGCAGACTGGAAAACCGGTAGCGCTAATACTAGCTTCCTCTCACAGCCTCTGTATTTCGGGTTGCCGAGCCTAGTCGAGCTAGTAAGAAGAGCTACCCCAACTAGGGCCGGAACTAAAAAAAAAAAAGAAAAAAAAAATCATCAACATCCTTGTTGAAAGAGATTCTTCGCTTTTGCCTTGTACATAAGACCAGGAATGCAGCCAGTCAGGGGGATTTGATGGAGCGACGCTTTACAGCCCTGACCTGGCCCTGATTCTGAAGAAACGGGGCCCACAGTCGCGTAGTGTCGCATCACACATTTCGACAGCAAAGAAAGCAACCCACTTCCGGGCCCCTTGCAGTTGTGATTTGGCCCGCAGCTCGGCAAGTCCTCGCGAGACATTGTGGATGTGCCATCTGCTTTGCAAGGGCCAGAGCCTTGCAACCAGTCACCATGGAGATGTGCGCAGCTGGAGATTGCCTTGGCGATACATAATCGCGTCAAGGCTCCTCCAGCTTACTTCCCGGGATATAGGTCCGCAAGCGGGTACCACTGGAGAAAAAGCATAGCCAGTCTTTGAAGGAGGATGCTGCCAATGAATATAATATAATTCGGTCCGTTCAACATTTTAGCCGCAAAGGCGAGCCCATTTTGTAGGCGCCGTGTCTCTTGTTGGTACGAGCGAGTGGAAACAGTAAAAAAGACACGCGTCGCAGCCATGGGTAGCATCTCGTAGTTGCATTTGCGCGTGCATGGAATCCGTGTATCTGCGCAGTACTGCAGGCAATGACCTGAAGATTCGTCCCGAACACGACGTAAACGTCCAGGAGAAGCCCTGGAAATTCGTTAATGCCCCTATCAACTGCATATCAGCGATTCATATCAGACGCGCAAGGCCAGAGCAAGCCAACATCGCCGCTTAAAAGAGCCGCTTCGGGGTATGTGAATTCGTGGTATCAGAAAACCGGGCTGACTGAAGGAAGGCCTCTGTTGCGTCGCATGACGCATAGCCTAAGACAGCAGAGGTGGAAGCGTAGCATCATTCACGGTGCGGCCCGAATGGCAAACATTTACACTGCATATTTGAGGCAGTAATATGAGCATGCTGCTAGCCACAGGACTTGAGTTTCTTGGGCTTTGCGCAGCGATGAATTCAAGGGCATGTACCAAATTAGGCTCACTAGCTGTTAGGAAACGTCGACAGCAATTCCAAGTGGGTAAGCGAAAGTTGGCGCAACTCGTAAATTGGCAGAAAATCGAAGCAAAGTGGGAAAATCACTCAAACTCGCCAAGCACACGGCGCGGATCTTGCCTTGTTACGGAGTGCGGAAAAGCCATTTTTGGCGGCGCCACGCCGTTTTCCACGGCCCCAAGTACCTCGACGCCTGCCACAAAGGGCGCGAGACCCGTTGAGCAACGTCTTGGCTAGGCTGGTCTGATAATATTATTCGTGTGCGAAGAAATTGCGTATTGAGGGCCTTCCCCAGTTGGCGCTGGGGAGTTAGTCAGCGGACGTGGCGGCGCCCTAGGGTAGTTAGTGTAGACAGGCATACGTGATTCTGAATGGCCAACCAGGTTGCCAACAGCGTGCGCTGCTCAACGTTTATGATGAGTCCACATGTGAAAAGTTGGGGCAAGAGGTTTTATCTAGTATGAAAAAGGATGTTGTTTCAGGGCAGAGCTTGTAAAAAGCGTGACTCGACCATTTGGGGCGCAGTTTTTTTTTCATTTCGAGTTCCTTATCTCAAGGAGACCTGTTAAGCGTGAATGTAAAGGTTTGTTCCGGTAAGTAGGATTTCAAGAGAAACATATGAGGAGAAACCCCTGACGACCACGCCTCGTTTCGAGCCTTATGTAAAAAGACTAGGACCTCGGTGTCATCTTGGCTGCATAAGAGGCTCGCTTCGTCGTCACTGTCACTGGGTAGGGCAGGTCGTAAGGTTACCCCGCGACAAGGTGCAGCATATCGCCAGCCGTTGGTGAAAATATGGGAAAAAAGAGAAGATGTGGCTTCAAAATCAGCAAGAAGCTGGCTTAAAAGACTTAAATGTCAGGGAACACCTGCATTGCAAGCTACAAACATCCGCGCTTGATGTACAGGTGCTGTGACAAATAAGGCTTCATTAGTGCAGGAACTGGGGCGGGTGATGCGACACTGAAGCGCGGTCATCTGAAGCCTTTTTACCGCGCTGATGGGCTAGGACTGTCGCTGGCGCTTCGAACGAAACGGCATTCAAAGAATTAGTTAGATATCATGTCCGAATGCGGCCAGTGTAGCGCAGCTTTTGATGATTCGGCGGCGTGATGTATCAGACCCATCGCATCGTACACGTTCCACATGCCGCACGCGATGGGTGGAAGAATGCATAGTTAGATCGTTGCCACTTGTCGCTTTGACTTCGTCTTGAGGTCGGAAAATCGGGGGTGCTGAGGCGCCCGCTATAGGCGGCTAACGATAACCCCTTGCATTGCTTGCGTTTCGTCACTTTCAGATTTCTTTTGCTTGATGGGCTGAAACAAAAATGAAGAAAATGACAGGCGTTGACACTCTATTTTGAGGCGAGACAGAGCAGAGCAGGCCAACTAGTGGGGTTTTGCCGAGACCAGCTGTGCAGCTGCGCCGGGGGGTTACAATGCGGCGACGGACAGGGAATTGGCCCACAGCAAAGCATCGCGAGTAGCTCTGAGTGAACCAGGAAGGGCAATTATGGGTTTGTCAAAGAAGCGAATCCCGATTGGAGAATAATGCGATGTGATGTGGACGGACATGGGCAACATGTGCCCCTTCGACGCACCCGTTTGACAGTGAATGCCACGATGATAAGTTCCGGAGGCCTGACTGTAACAATTGGAAAGAAGGGGAAGAGTAAATAGTAAGCCGCTGAATTGTCGAGAAAAGGGAACGCCGATATCTGGGCCAGCGAGATAACGCACACTGCCTATCGTATCAACGACGCCGTTGACAGTCGAGATGTGGAATTTGAAGAAAAGAAAGTAGAGGGGTCCGTTCGCAAGGCGGGTGGCGGGTGGTGGTGGTGGTCCTGTGTGGAGGGGGTAACTTGGGGCACTTGGACAAAGCAGTTGAACAACAGCACCATCAGCAACCGTCGAAGCTTTCTGTTGGTGGAGTTTGCGGCTGGATTTCAGGCGGAGTCCCCCCTATTAGTGGATGAGTCTAGTGGGGGAAGCGCCAAGCAACGCCAGAAAAGCCAAGCCGCCAGCAGCGTGTTGTAGCGTGTTGCAGTGTGTCCAATGCCTGCAAGCGCCAGCTGGCAGCCAAGATTGCGTGCGTGCCCAGGCGAAATAAACCGTGAGCTTGAGCTAGTTATGTAGGCAGGAGCAAAGGATACGACAAGCTGCTGTACTACCTCACTTGTCTACCAAGCTGTTTAGCTGAGACAAGTACCGACAATGTAGATACCGTTAGATACTGGTATCACAAAGCGAGGCAGTCGCAGCAAACAGACAACATTACGCTGGGTCGCTCCAATTATTCATCCACATCACCTCATCTACGCTCTTCAATATTCTCCAGTCATCTACGGATACTCCTCCTTCTTCTCCATCACTCCATCACTCCATCACTTGCTCGTCTTGTCCCGTGGTTTCCGATCCGCGGCGACCCTCTTCTCCTCTCTTCATCCATGGCCAGACAAGGGCGACCATCGACTGTCAACTCTCGGCCCTCTCGCAAGTTGCGGCTTAGTACCAGTAGAACCCGCCAACCCGCCTAGCCAGCCCACCAGCCCGGCTAGTCTCTGCTAGCACACCACTTTGCTGCCTCACCTGCCGACAAGGGTCCGGGACCAGGGCGAGATCGTCTCTGAGCTCCAGCCTCTTGCCCAGAAAAGCCTCGTCCTCGCGTCTGGTCGATTTTGCCTTTTTAATCCATCTGGAGCCCTCTTCAATTCGTCTGTTGTTCTGCGTGTTCAATCTCCTCCACATCCCTCCTTCACACCGTGACTGAGCCAGAGACACCGTCGTGTCTTTTGGAGAGCCTCCTCCATCAATAACCATTCTCCCCTTTGCTTGTCTTGAATAATTATACCCATATATACTTCCCTTTCCACCTCGCCAACGAACCTGCAGCAGTCATATCACTGCCGTGAGACATTGTTTCACCTCACATCAGTCGTCTTCCAGCTCATACTCCAATCTCTTTATTCTACCTCACCCTCTCGACTCTAATTTCTCCCAAAACCTCTCATCACATCATCATCATCATCATGTCGACCGTTTCCGACCCTGAAAAGGCAGACAACGCCATTGTCCGCCCCAACTCGTCCTACGACGGCTCAGACAAGCCAGACGTGGCTGCTCGCCCACAGTCCGCCGGCTCCGACGTCGACACTGCCTGGAAGTTCCTCCAGAGCGTAGGCCCCGTCGATGAGAATGAGGTCAACAGCGTCAATCTGTCCTCACTCCGTCGCAAGGTTGACTGGCGCATTGTCCCCCTCATGTTCTGCTGCTACACGCTCCAGTTCCTCGACAAGGTCATCTACAACTACGCCGCCGTCATGGGCCTACCCAAAGACCTTCACTTCAAGGGCAACGACTTTTCCAACATTGCTACCTATCTCTTTGTCGGTCTCCTCTGCTTCGAAATCCCCAACATCTACTTCCTGCAAGTCTTTCCTTGCGCCAAGTGGCTAGGCCTCAATGTCACTCTCTGGGGTGTGGCCACAGCCTGCGGTGCTGCCGCCCACAACGCTCAGACTCTGCTAGTCTCCCGTGTTTTCCTGGGAATCTTTGAAGCCACCATTGGTCCCTCTCTGATGATCATTAGCAGCCAGTGGTACACCAAGTCTGAGCAAGCTCCTCGCTTCTCATTCTGGTATCTTGGTCTTGGTCTTGGTCAGATCCTGGGTGGTGCCGTCTCGTACGGCTTCCAGCACATGGGCGCTGGTGCCGCTCTGTCTGGCTGGCGAACCATGTTTGTCACCCTCGGCTGCATAACTGTTGCTATTGGTCTCTCTGTCATCTTATTTCTGCCCGACACCCCTATGCAGGCTACCTGGCTGTCCAACGTGGAGAAGGTCGCTCTTCTTAAGCACGTCTCCGTCAACCAGACCGGCATCTCCTCCAAGAAGTTCCGCATCAAGGAGATTTTTGAGGCCCTCCTGGACCCCCAAATCTGGCTCCTCCTCCTGGCTGTCGTCTTGCTGTCAGTCTCCAGCGGCGTCGTTACCACCTACTCGGCAACCCTGATTCGCAACCTCAAGTACTCGCCCAAGCAGGCTGCCCTCATGAACATGCCGTCTGGCGTTGTCAGCATCTTCTTCACTCTTTTGGTGGGCTATGGTATCCGTCATGGCTCTCACCGTTGGGCTTGGATCATCCTCTGCATTATCCCCGCCATTATTGGTGGTGCGCTCATGTCTTTCTTGCCCACCACCAACCGTTCCGGCATTCTTGCTGGTATTTACCTGGTCAATGCCGTCGTTGCACCTTTGGCCATTTTCTACAACTGGACCGTGGTCAACGTCGCCGGTGCTACCAAGCGCGCTTTTGCCTGCGCTGTCATCTCGGGCTCCTTTTCTCTGGGCAACATTATCGGACCCCAAACCTTCCAGGCTCGCGACGCCCCCGACTTTCGCCCAGCCAAGCTTGCTGTTATGGGCACTCAGGCCGGCTGCGCGGCTATCACTTGCCTGCTATTTGTGTACTACGTCTGGATGAACCGTCGCCGTGCCGACAAGACGAAGCAAAATGAAGAGGCGTACAAGTCGCCTGAGGTGTGGGCCAACATGACGGACAAGGAGAACCCTCACTTTGTCTACACCTACTAGGTGTACCGTGATGTGGCTGTGCCCAGCGGTGCGACATGTACAAACCACCACAATCTTGTGCTGAAGCATTCCATCTAATTATCTTTTTATATCTACTACCAAGCGACTTTGGATAAACCGAGTCAATTTACTTTTATTGTATATACGTTGTATGATTTTGCATAATTTGCGGTGTGTAAGAGAGTTCTTTTGTGCCATGGTTTAGGATGGAGGAATCTTGTGCTTTCGTTTTTGTTGTCGAAAAATGGACATTGTGTGTTTGAACTCGGCATTGAGTGTATATACCCTTGACGAAAAGTCTCTGTTGAAATGATTCTTTGCTCCATGTGACAGTCTAGAACGTGGATAGATGTCAAAGTTCAGTCAGTTAATTGGGAGAAGTAGGAGGGGTGTGTGGGTGGCTGCTACAATCAAAAAGATGACTGCAGGAGACCAGCTTGAGGGTGGTCAGCAACCGCGATCTCCGCCAAGATCCGACGCCAAGCTGACCAACGTTTGGAGTACAGCCCTACCAGGCTGCACGCTTGTACTCTGATATCTTACAAATCGTCGTCTATAGGCATGCAACCGTCACCTAGACACAATTACACCCAAGACATTGAGGCAGGTAATCTTCATATGCATTGTATTCATGGCAACAGCCATTCTATCTTGTACTGGTTGTGTAAATGAAGCAACAAAAAAAAAACGCCGAGATTCCTTATTTTCCAAACAGTTCAGAGGAAATGGTTCAACAAAGGAAAAAAAAAAATTAAGTCATCGTCTGCTCATCAATCTGTTCTGTTGTTCTAGCCGTCACGGCATATGCAGAGTGTGCGCGCAAAACACAAAGACACGAGCTGTCCCTCCTTAGACGGCAGGGCCAGCCTTGACGACCTCGGGGGTGGCCTCACTCTCGTACTTTTTGAAGTTCTCGTTGAAGAGGCCGCCGAGCTTCTTGACCTCGGCCTCGAAGCTGTCGGCGCCGGCAGTCCAAGCCTTCTTGGGGTTGAGCATGTCGTCGGGTACCTTGGGGCAGGTGGTGGGGACCTGCAGGTTGAAAATGTCGTAGTTCTCGTACTGGACCTTGGCGAGCTCGCCGCTGTGGATAGCGTCGAGAATGGCACGGGTGTATTTGAGGGGGCAACGCTTGCCGCCCTGGGAGAAACCGGCGCCGACCCAGCCGGTGTTGAGGAGCCAGGCGTTGGCATTGTTGGCCTCAATGCGGTCAGCCAACATCTTGGCGTAGCGCATGGGGTGCAGGGCCAGGAAGGGCTGGGCAAAGCAGGAAGAGAAGGTGGCCTGGGGCTCGGTGACACCGTCCTCAGTACCGGCCATCTTGGAGGTGTAGCCAGAGATGAAGTGGAACATGGTCTGGTTGCGGTCGAGCTTGGAGATGGGAGGCAGGACACCGCGAGCATCGCAAGTGAGGAGGATAATGTTGGTGGGCATGTTGGTGGACAGGCAAGGAATCTTGGCGTTGGAAATGTACTCGATAGGGTAGGCGCAGCGGGTGTTTTCGGTGAGGGTGCTGTCATCGTAGTCGACGGCACGGGTGAGGGGGTCAAAGACGACGTTTTCGAGGACGGAACCGTAACGGATGGCGCCATAGATATCGGGCTCCTTCTCGGCAGAGAGGCCAATGCACTTGGCGTAGCAGCCACCCTCAATGTTGAAGACACCGTTGTCGCTCCAGCAGTGCTCGTCGTCACCAATCAGAGCACGGTTGGGGTCGGCAGACAGCGTGGTCTTGCCGGTACCAGAGAGACCGAAGAAGAGGGTGACATCACCGTTCTTGCCCTCGTTGGCGGAGGAGTGCAGGGTGAGGACGTTGTGCTTGATGGGCATCTCGTAGAAAAGGACAGTGAAGACTCCTTTTTTCATCTCTCCTATGGTGGTGCATTAGTATCGTTGTCAACATGTTCCGTGGCCTTCCGGAGATGTGAGGCCGTCCTTTTTCACAGTCTGAAGCTGGGGAAGGTGGCTCCTGTTGGGAAGGAAAGCCTCCTTCCCATGCGGACAAAGTGTCCATGCAGGATGAGGACTCATGAGGAAGAAGTGAAAGGGCAATACTGAGGAAGGACACATCTACAAACAAGGAAGGGGTTAGGGAGTCTCACCTGCGTATTCGGTACCCAGGATGACCATCTCCTTGGCGGAGAAGTTGATGGCTACCGAGGTGGCAGAGGTCATGCCCTCGGTGTAACGGTTGGCAGGGAAGGTACCGGCGTTGTAGATTGTGTAGTCGGGATGGAAGCCCTCGAGCTCCTCACGGGGAGGGCGGATCAACATGTTGCGCATGAAGAGGGCATGGTAGGCACGGGCGCAGATAACGCGGACCTTGATGCGGTACTTTTCATCCCAGCCAGCGTAACCGTCGACGACGTAGATGCGGTTGCGAGTGTTGAGGTAGTCGACGGCACGTTCGCGGTTAATCTTCCAGACCTGAACATGCTGTTAGCGGCTGAAGATGCAAGATGATGAGAAAATGAAGACTGCATGAGCAGCAGGTAGTAATGATGCGTATAGTTTCATTCAAAGGAAGGCATTTGCACCTCCCGATTTGGCAACTGCGAGGTTTGGCTAATGAACACTTGCTCATTGGACCGAGCTGGGAGCTGGGTGGAGCCACAAACGCGCAGCCCGGGACGAGTCGGAAGAGCAGCGGCCACAAGGACTCGCCGTGCTCCGCTTATACTCGGCTGTTTCGGTTCTGCGGGGCAGTGACGAGAGCGGAACAGCTCGAGACGTCAACCCAAGGCAAAAAAAAAGCAGAGCCGAGGGGGACCCAAGGCAGCTAGCTGCGCAAGCGCAAAAGTGGGAAAACCCAGGCCGTCACATGCATTATTTGATGCGGGGTTGCATTGGCTCGTGGCGGAATTGCAAAGCCAGAGCAAGGGAAAAGGTACCCAAAACCGCGACAGAATGGGAACAACATCGGGCAGCCTGAGTGTGCGGCTACTTGGCCCCAGCTCCAGACGCAGGGCCACTCTGCTGGAGCAAAATGCAGCCCAGAGGAGCAGTCGTCTGCCCGCCTTGACCAGCTGCAGCCGGGGTTGTATGCGCCCAGCCCACCACATGTGTCGCGTGCCTAGCCTGACACCACAGCTCGGCAGTGAAGAGACAATGAAGGCAGCCAAAAAACAAAGAGAAGAAAAAAACAGACGAATATGAACCTACCTCGGGAGTCATGGGCTTGTTGACGGGTCCCCACCAAATGTCATCTTTTGATGAGTCCTCCTGGACAATTCGCTTGTCGAGGGGAGAGCGGCCAGTCTTGGCGCCAGAGTAGGCAGTCAGAGCACCGGAGTCGGTGATGGCGGAGCCGGTCTCATAAACCTGTGTAGAGTCACCTGTTAGTCCTGGATGCGTCGCACAAGATTGGCATGCGATGCGATGCGCCAAGGCGCTGCGGCGACTCGGCAACGCAGCGCCGGCGTCGGCATGTTGTGCGACGTACCAGAGCATCTTCGTAGAGAGCGGCAACGGAGGGATTGTGAATCTGCGGACGCCATGTTAGCGATTGAAGCTTTCCGCCGTGAAGAGGCGGTTTGACTTTTTTAAAAACTTACAATAGCGACGTGGTCGTAGTCAATGTGAGCGGTCTCGTGAAGCTCCTCCTCGAGCTCGGTGTGCTCGCGGTGAGGCCTGCATTCATGTTAGCGACGGGTCATGCGATGGACAAGTATAAAGGACGTACTGAACACCACCGGGGTGGAGGGAAGTCTTGTTAACACTGTTGGAAATCACTAGACAAGGCTTGTTAGCAGCTTGATGGATAAGAGGCATACACGGGACAAGATTGCCCGTGTAAAAGTGCCATATGAGAAGTGAGGTCGACATACTCCTGCGCAAATCCGGACGGCGAGCTTGAAGAATAGATCTGGGACCTTTGACTGAAGGATCAGGATAGGGAGAAGCAGTTCTGAGAATGGGGTCCATGGCTATTAAAGTACTTTTGGGAACGGGCCTCCACAAGGCTTTTTTTTTGCTTTAGTTTTCGTGTCGTGACGGAGGAAGTGCTTGGATCTTCAGCTGCCTGGACGCTTCTTGAGCCGGGGCAACTCTGGCGGGGTGGGAGTGGATAATGGAAGAGAAGTGATTGGGGCGAACAAGATTGCAAAGTGTGGGAGGGGGGCGTGTGCAGCAAGTTGATGATGTGCAACGATCAGGTTGAAACGGTACGGAAAGGGTACGTATTTGTACCAGTAGGCTGCGTGTGTGCGTGTGTGTGTCGTCAACGGAGAGAAGAGGAGAGCAAAGAGGCGGTTCCGGGACGTATTCGAGGGACGTGAGGGACGTGAGGGCCGGGTTCCAAAGGCTGCACTCCACAGAGTGGAATCGGCCGGGAGATTTGGCTGGAGAGGGGAGGGCGGAGGGATGGCAATTGGATGGATGGGATATGTGGGCGTGTGCGGTTATGGGATGCGAGTAGCTAGTGCCGCACCAAGGTTTGTATTGCGTAAAAAGAGGCAGAGGTGTGTGCTTGACGGGATTGGCCAGGGTGGAAGAAGCCGGGACAAAAAGAAGGTATCAAGAATTGAAGCTGCAGGGGGGCTTTCCGAGTTGATTTTTTTTTGTGGCAATTTTCAGTTTACAGCGTAGACAGCAAGAGTCTCAGAATGAATCGGTGCCGAAATCAGCGATGAATGAAAATCGCGAGGCGGGCAAAACAGAGTCTGAATGCAGCAACGTGATGCTTCCGTCTTGATTGTCTTGTTTTTTTTAGTCTTGTAAATCCCCAAGAAAACAGGCCCCTTGCTAGCCTGGAGGGGCAAAATGGAATGGAGTTAGTTGATGTGTGGTTCTGTCTGGGGCTGGCGGGCGCCAAAGAGAGCACCAGAAAATAAGAAAAGATCCAAAGAGGCTAGGGTTGGGGACTCTGGACAGGGCTGTGCGACCAAAAGGCGTCGGGGGCACGATATTAACTCGGAACGGAGAGGGCAGCAACGCAACAGTTCAGTAGAGGAGGTGCGTACTGCTATGTCGAGGCTCGTATCTGGCCCTTGCTTGGTGTAATG